TTCTCAGCTAGGAATATATACATAGGGTCATATCTTTAGATAAATATATATACATAGAATAATATGTAGACTCATTTATTATAGATTTACATGGGAGTCTAATATATAGATTTGTCTGAGAATGTTGTTTCACCGACAAATGAATGGACATGAATGATGATGCTCATTATATCAGGGCCCCACTGACCACTGAGAACGTGCTTTAACTATGTACTTACATCAACAAAAGGCACGTACAGAAATTTATGCATAGGAATAATTTTTAAGAAACCTGTATATGCTGGAAAAATAGTGTCGTATACTTTTTACTCGCAGATCATTAGCTACAACATCGTAGTATAGTACCCTTATGACTGAAAATTGGCAGAAAACAATGGATACAGGTATCTGAGAGCCAATCTAATCGCACAAAACCAGTGAGTTCAAACATAAGCACCATTTGCAATTTGCAGAAGCTTCATATCTCATACGACAGTTTGCATGCGCAACAAACACACATTTCTAAGGAGTGCTCGACTCTGCAACTTGCTTGAGCATTCATTTCTGTATAACTACCTTAGCCGTGTATCGGACGTTTATCAAGTCCTAGTAGTACTGCCACTGGTTCCCAAATTTGTCCGCGTGTTTCTTCTGCTCTTCTAAATCCAGCTTGACCGCGGCATCATACAGCCTGCCCTTAAACAGCCGTCTCCGCCTGCGCTCGTTCATCACCTCCACATCGTCCTTCACCTTCGCCAGGGCACTCTCTTTCTTGGCTGGTTTTCTACTGCTATTACCTCCGTCCGCCGCTTTCCTCTTACTCCTACCCCTTATGCCAACCCCACCATTCAGCGACGCCATGTCACTGTGTGGTTCGCCTATCCGCACAACTGCATTCGCCTGTCCATCCCCAAGCTCAGCAAACCCCCCCTTTACCACAGCGTTTGATGACGCGAACGCGTTTGCACGCGTCTCCTTTAACGGCTCACTCCCGTCTGATGGCATTGTAATGCCCATATCTTGCGCTACACTCTCCCACAGAGGCTGTTCCGCTGTGTGGGCAACTGTTGTTTGGGCGTTATCCTGCACACCGGTGTCTTGTGTATCTTGCCTGTGGGCTGTGCTTGTGGTGGTGTGATTGGTGCCCGTGGTTTGGCTGGTAGTTAAACTGTTAGATGTTGCGCCGGCGCCCGCTCCACTCCTATCCGCTTGAGTACCTATACCTGCAAACCTCGCATACACATCCGCACCCATACCCGTTTGCCCTATACTCTGAGCAGCTCCATCAGACTCAGCACCTGTCGGGTCGGCCGACGTCCCATTGTTGAGGAGAGTATTGCCATCGGGTTGTTGGGTTTCTGCGTTCGGTGTGGGGCTGTTCGGTACCCCCTCACTGTCACGCGCAATGACTGGGCCGTGTATGGGGCATTTCTTGCGGTCGTGGCGGGCACACAGCTTGCCAGTCGGCAAAGGTGCTCTACAAGCCTGTATGTGTCATAGATAATGTATTTATTTCCTCATAATTACATATATATATATATATATATATATATATATAATATATATATAATAATATATATAAATAATACATACATATACACACATACATACATACACACACACACACACACACACACACACACATATATATATATAGGGCGGTATTTACAATAGAGGTAATCGATGATATATATATATGTATATATGTATGTGAAACTCAATCGTATCGAGAAAAGAACGCTACTCAAGGTGTGTGAGAAAATCGCACGTGTAACTCAGCCTTCTTGGTCTGGCGCCCGGATAGTCTGAGCGGATTCATATACAACGTACATACGTATGAGTATATGTGACTACAAAGGGATAGATCGTATGCAACACTTACCCACTTGACAGGTACAAACTCGTTATCATGGTAACGAACTCTTGTTCGGAACAATGCGGCATCTACCTCTCCCACCCTCTCACTACTACTCCAGAACCTGTGGTCGATGTCATCTGCATCAGAAAAACTACATATCAGTACAATACAGATGTGAATCGCCGACAATGTTCAAATGCCTAGATTCATCCATAGCAACGGTGCTTCAGAAACATCGCGTGAATGTCCCATGAACAAGTACGTGTGTAGCGAAGGGATGGCCGTCTGGGAAATCATTTGGTGCTCAGAGCTATGACAGACTTAGTCGGTCGCGAAACACCTCAATCTGTTCACTTACTATGGCACAATCACATTGTGGTTCTACTAACGCAACTATGACTTCAGAGGAATAAACATTTTCTACTGGAATCGGAGGACGGTGACGTACTAATGTATATATATGACACTAGTCTTTGGAAAACGAGATCGCTTGCATAAATGCACACATACTTGCTCAAGCATAAACCCCACACCAATTTATACACACAAACACGCACATCACTGTACACGTAGACATGCTTATACACCAACCACACACACACGTCTGTACACGTAGACATACTTGTACACCAACACACACACACACGCACACGGATGTACACGTAGACATACTTATACATCCACGACACACACAAGCACACGGCTGTACACGTAGACATACTTATACACCAACCACACACACACGCACACGACTGTACACGTAGACATACTTATACACCCACCACACACACACGCACACGGCTGTACACGTAGACATACTTATACACCAACAGTCTGGGATGATGACGCACACTTCTCATACATAGAAGGACTGTGACGTATGTCATGGTATGCCAAGCCGCAGATCCCACACAGGTGCGCCTGTACTTTAAGTACACACACCCCTGCAGTAGCCAAAGCGATCAACGCACACGTGCAGCAGCCCACACACACACACCCAAGGTCCTCCGTATACACACGCGCATACACACACCCACCCACCCACAAGGCCGACGTTGATAGGGACCGTCTTGCTCTCCCAGTACTCGAGGTCTGTATCGTATGGCATGACAGGCACGCCCTCTTTGATCCGCACAGCCGCACCCATGGCGGTGGTGCGTGCGGGGGCTTTGAAGACTTGCGCTGTGGGATCGATTGCCTTTGATCTGCTATTGTCGTAGGTGTATGCGAGTCTGTGATGGAAGCGGGTATGTATGGGTGGGCAGTATGTGTGTCTATGTGGGCAGCATGTGTGTATTTTGTAGCGATTCTCAAGCGATGGATAGACCTGCATGTAGGTGTCAACCACTCTCCTAAGCCGAGTTAAGCAGACACTATGGTGCATATGCAGGATCCTTAATAGCCCATATGTCTAATTACATACCTAACGCGTTTAATTACATACCAAACGCGTTTAACTACACACCTTTGTTCCTCGTCCTGCTCGAGCGTGATTTGTATGTGCTGTTGCGTGGGCTCGCGTTTCTGCACATCGCGCGCGTAACTGAACACTGACCACCCCGTCTCACTGCTTGCTTTGTCCTCTTTCTGCTCAGCTGTCGAATCAGCCAACTGAAACAAGGCATACAAATACATTAAAAGAAGATGAAAGACATATACATGCATTAGAAGATGGAAGACATACACATACATTAGAAGACGATGAGAGACATAAAAAGATGAACGACATACAAATACATCAGAAGCAGATGAAAGACATACACATACATTGGAAAAAGACCAGAAGAGTGGTAGAATATTGGTGAACTTGGAAGCTATGAGAAAGAAACTTATCCGCACCCGGACACGAACACCTAACGATCAGGCAAACTGCCACAGGTAGTACACCCCCCCATACATTGTCCGAAGTAGTTGCCATGGCCAGTGATCTGCATTTGGGCGGCGATACGTCGACGCCCATCTGCACCACTGCTTTGAGCAGTGTCTGGCACCGCACCTGCAGCGCCACAGCCCGACTCAGCAGGGCCTGTGGGTGAGGCTGTGTAGTAGGTGAAGCTGCACCCAGGGCTGTGGTTGTGCGGCCGTCTCTCCCGGTTGATTGCGCACGGGAACTGTCCCCCGTTGGTACACCTACACGGTGTGACAGCGGTTGAGAAGTGGTGTCTGTTGGGCTGGTGGAATGGCCCCTAGCGCTGCTAGATGACGTGGTGTTCGTACCGGTTTGGTTACCATGGTAACGCACAGCGCCTAGCAAAGCATCCACCCATGTGTTGACCATCAGTACGTGCTTGTACCTTAGCACGCGGTCGTGCTCTCGCACCGCCGACAGTACCGGCGCGTCCACCGACGGCTCGGCTGACGCGGATCTATTTTTAGAACTAGTGCTATTTTTAGAACCAGTGCTATTTATAGACCTCACTTGCTGATCCAGGTGCATACTTGATTCTTCTCCAGTCTGTGGTATCTCCGTATTCATTGGTGTTGTGACCTCGTCCTTCTTTGTACCGTCTGTGCGGGTGGGTCCGATGGTATCAACACCCCACAGCCTCTGCTCACGCATGAGGTCAACGCTGGCTTCCAATTGGCTCAAATTAATTTCCACGCTATCCCATTGGTCGGCTATCTCTCTGGCGGCCCGTTGGTACAATTCCTGGGCCTTCGTTTGCTCAGCACGTGCTCTGTCGCGTGCGCGTTGCCGCTCCACAGCACTCATGCCGGCATCCTCTCCCAAATCACTAAAGTCAATGCCACCTGCAGCACAACCGAACAATACGTTTAGATTCAGTACTGGACTATGCAGGTGCAGGTGTGTATACGTATTCTTACTTGTGTGCAGGTTAGCGTCACCAGTACACGACCACTGACACCAGCCGCACTGTATAGGCCGGATGTTGGAGAACAGCTGTATACACGAAGATAAATCTACATGCAAGCATGCGTATGATTTAGAACACTCTGAGTCGGCAAAGAGAATACTACCGGTGCTGTGTGGGTAAGCGTAGTCAGTAGGTCTGGTTCTACTGACAGTTCCTTGAAGGCCAAGTCCCAATACACAATGGAGTTAATCTCAATATTCAAATACAAACACTCCGTCCGAACGGTGAACATCCCTAAACCCGAAGATTACACACATTACAACCAGCCAACAAATACCTAGACGAGCAGTCTACTTACATCAAGGTGCATGAACACGCTGGGGTGCTCAGCTACACAAGACAATATATATCACTAAAGAATGCAGAGGCATATCGCGCGAGTGCCACCGCATTCGATCTCTCAATCACGATAACCAACCGATACGATCGCCAAACCATTTCAGACCATCGGCACCTGAGCAGCTAAGATACTATGTCACAGTGGGTAACGTATAGTTATCATTTCTCCTACGCACAGCCAAGCATACCGTTGTTCTGCAGAAACTTAAACCCCAGCACAAGCTTCTTGTGTTGGTCATGGTACTTCTCATGCCACTGGTTGAAGCAGATGAGTGTCTGTCGCCGTAGCATCCGTGCGGTGGACTTTGGCTTTGGTAGTTTGGTCTTTGGGTTTAATGCGATGGTGAGCGCAAAGTACTCGTGCACGTCATCTAGCAGCAGTTGGCGGAAGAGATGCGACCGTTGGAAGAGTGCGTCTATCACCTGTAACGACACACAGGCATGGTGCAGGATTGAGGAGTGGTATGTCAGTGTGAGATACGGTTAAAGGAAGTATTTCAGTCAGGTGTACCAGGACGCATGTTGTACTTGTGGCCGGCGTGATTAGACTAGGTATAAGAACGTTATTATTGGGTATAGATATGAATACACCAAGTAGAAAGAAGAATACACTGGGTGTACATATGAATACACCTGGTAGAATATTATTATAACATTGGGTGTACTAGGTATAAAGAAGAATACACTGGGTATACATATAAATACGCTAGGCAAAAAAAAGATAACATTGGGTATAAATATGATTACACTAGGTACACATATGAAAACATTGGGTATAAATATGAATAAGCTAGGTACAAATATGATAAAATTAGGTATAAATATGAATACACCAGGTATGAATATGATAAATTTAGGTATAAATATGAATACAGTAGATATGAATATGATAACTGAAGTATAAATATGAAGACACTTGGTATAAATATGATCTTAGTTATAAATATGAATACACCAGGTATGAATATCATAACATTAAATATACATATGAATACATTAGATATGAATATTGTGACTGAAGTATAAATATGAAAACACTTGGTATAATTGTGACAACTTAGATACAAATATGAATACACCAATGAATATGACAACTGAAGTATAAATATGAAAACACTAGGTATAAATATGATAACTTAGGTATAAATTTGAATACAATAGGTATGAATATGATATCTTAAGTATAAATATGAATACACTAGGTATAAATATGATAACTTAGGTATAAATATGAATACACTCGGTATAAATATGATAACTAAGATATAAATATGAATAAACTAGGTATAAATATGATTACACTAGGTATAGATATGACTAGATTAGGTATGCATATGGTGGCGAAATTGCCCACAATAGAGAGTTGTCTGCATGCAGTCTGATAGGCTCTCAGCAGTCCATGGAATTAATCCTGTCAACAATGTGCTACGTATATGCGCCTGATTTATAAATAAAGTATTAGGAAATGACATATATATATACAACTTATGAAGGGGTGCACACACCTTCACACATGAATATCGAATCTGAGCATGGTCTTTGTTCAGTTGCCGCCAGATCCGATCGAAAGCGAAGCGCAGATTCGAATCTGATTTGCGACATGCCGTCTTTAATTGTTTCAAATGCGAGTCATTGAGAGTGACGAGACCTGTGGAGGTGATATCCTCCACGAGAGTTTCTAAGTGTTGCCGATCCTCTGCGGTTGTCATAACGGCGGTAGACGAATAAGGTCTTGGAAAAAATTCACATCTGCGACCGTGTATACTGTGCAAAGAGAGTGATAACCATAACATAAGCATTTGACTTACAAAGACAAAAATGATAGCAAGATAATATAAAACACAAAAACAATTTTATAATGCGAAAACAAAAATAGTTTCCTAGGTACCGATATCAATATATATATATAAACACACACACACATATACGTACACACACCCACATACACACCCACCCACACACACACACACATATATATATATACACACACACACA